TAACAACAACAACATGGGTGAAATATTGAATGATGCAGAAAACATCAAAAGAAGATGGAAGGTAAACATAGAGTTACTGTGACAAAAGAAATGGCTGATGTTCAACCATTTCAGGAGATATTATATGATTAAGAAATGAATGGTACTGAAGGAATAAGCTACACTGAAGGCAATGGCAGAAGACAAGGCTCCAGGAATTGATGGAATACACACTGAAATCATTCAACAAACTGATGTAGCACTGGAGGCACTCATTCATCTATGCCAAGGAATTTGGAAGACAGCTACCTGGCCAAGTGACTGGAAGAGATCCATATTTGTGCCCATTCCAAAGATAAGTGACCCAATGCAGAAACCATCAAACAATATCGCTGATATCACATGCAAGCAAAATTTTGCTGAAAATAATTTAAAAGCACCTGCAAAAGTACATTGACCGAGAATTGCTAGAAATACAAGTCAGATTCAGAAGAGGATGTGGAACTAGGAATACCATTGCTGACATCAGATGAATCTTGGCTGAAAGCAGAGAATACCAGAAAGATGTCTACCTGTGCTTTATTGACTATGCAAAGGCTTTTGACTGTGTGGATCATGAAAAACTAAGGATAACACTGCGAAGAATAGGTATTCCAGAACATTTAATTGTGCTCATCAGGAACCTGTACTTAGACCAAGAAGCAGTAGTTGGAACAGAACTGAATGGTTTGAAACCAGGAAAGGTGTGTGCCAGGGCTGTATTCTGTCGCCTTACTTATTCAATCTGTATGCTGAGCAAATAATATGAGAAAATGGATTATATGAAGAAGAACACAGCATCAGGATTGGAGGAAGAAACATTAACAAAATGCAATATGCAGATGATATAATCTTGCTTGCTAAAAGCAAAAAGGACTTAAAATATTGATGAAGATCAAAGACCACAGCCTTCAGTATGTTTTGCATCTAAATGTAAAGAAAACAAAAATCCTCACAACTGGACTAATAAATAACATCATGATAAAGGGAGAAAAGACTGAAGTTGTCAAAGACTTTATTTTGCTTGAATCCACTATCAACACGTATGGAATCAGCAATAAAGAAATTAAAGGCTATATTGCATTAGGCAAATCAGCCACACAAGACCGCTTTAAAGTGTTCAAGAGCAAAGAGATCAGTCTGAGGACAAAGGCATGTCTGACTTAAAGCATGGTGTTTTTAATAGTCTCATATGCATGTGGGCGTTGGACAGTGAATACGAAAGGCGGGACCACAGACTGTTAACAAGAACAAATTGGTCTGTGCTGGAAGAAGTACAGTCGGATTGCTTCTTAGAAACCAGGATGGTGACACTTGTCTCTAATACTTTAGATATGTTATCAGGAGGGATCAGTTCCTGGAGATGGACATCATGCTTGGTAAAGTGGAGGTTTAATGAAAAAGAGGATGACCCCCTCACAAGGTGTATTGTCACAGTGGCAGTGGCAATGGGCTCAAGCATTGTGAGGATGGCATAGGACTGGGTAGTGTTTCATAGGGTTGCTATGAATCAGAACAAACTCAAAGGCACCTGACAGTAATCCTGCCTCACTAACATAACAAAGAACCCATTCCACAGACATATATGGATCAGGCTTTAGAACACATGGTACTGAAGGAGACATAATCTATTCTGGACTCCTGGTATGGCACTGTAGGATCAGCACTGGACTGTGAACCACAAGGCCAGCGGTTCAAACCTGCCAGCTGCTCCTCAGAAACCCTATACAGGCTTTCTATAAGTCAGAACTGACTTGATGGCACTTAACAACAACGATTCACCCTAAACATTTCAACCTTTGACCCCCAAAAAATCCATGTCCTTGTAATTTGTAAAACACATTTGCCCCTTAAATCAATGCCAAGTGAAAAAGCTCATCATTTGAATCCTCTAAATTAAATATAAGTGAGACTTTCGGTGTATCTCATCCTGGGGAAAAATTCTTCTTCATCTGTAAAGCTATAAAATCTAGATTGCAAGTGATCTATTTCCAAAGTACAATGGTGGAGCAGGCACAAGGATGGAACTGGAGGCAGAGAAGGAATAAAGGCCAGTACAAAAGTCTCAAACCCAGGAGAACAATTTATATGAACATTCAAGGCTTTCAAAGAACCCTCTATTCCCTGATACCATCTCTCAGATGGCCCTACCATCCAGACACAGGGTGACGCTCATACAAACTGGATTCTGGGTGGAGGCCCCTTGGTCCTGTGTTTCAGCTTCACTTTCTAGGGACACTGGGACAGTGACTCTGCTCCCTTGCCTCTGGGAGGCCCTATTCTCCTAGTCCATCTGTGTGGTGACCCTACTCCATGGACCGTAGTAAGGCCCACTCAGCTCTCCCTAGGGCAAGGCAGCCATGTCCCCTCAGCTGTGGGCAGTGATCCCATCCCCTGGTAGTCATGAATGGCAGCTGTACACTCTGGAACTGGAGATGAATTGGTGACGAGCTTGTCTTTGAAACCCAGGAGGTCATGACTCCACCATTTGAAACCAAGAAGGCGCTGCTTCCCGGGCTCCTTCCTATAGCTCTGCTGATCTTTAAGCTGCTACGGGGATGGCACTTTTCTTTTCTTGGAGGACAACAGAAGTAGCTCTTTTGGCTTGTGTCCTACCTATACCATTCCACGAAGCAGACAGTGTTCTTTCCTGTTTGTCCTTTCTGGGTCTCATCAGTCAATAACCAAATTCATCACTTCCAAGTTCTATCTTTCACCAAACATTTGAACATAATTCAGACCAGTTCTGTGTTACTGAATAAGAAGCACCAGCCCTTCACCGCTGTCCGATCACAAGTACATCATTTCATTTTAAAGCCTCACCAGAAGAACACCCATGTTACTAGCAACACTGTGTGGCTGGTGCCATATGTAGTTGCTAACACAACAGAGATTGTCTCTTTGTCTCCTCACTCCCTTCTGACTCCTCACCAGAATTGCCTTGTTGTTGTGAAGTGCCATCAGTCAGCTCTGACTCATAGCAACCCTGTATAGGGTTTCTGAGGAGTGGCTGGTGAGCTTAAACTGCAGACCTTGTGTTTCAATCCGACTTTGTGGTCCAGCACAATAACCTGCCTTTGAGTCCATAATTCTACCAACAGTGTCTTCAAGGCTATCTAGGCTTTCACTATTGTTGTTAAGGACCACTGAGTCAGTTCTGACTGAATGGCTGACTTGTGGTTGGCAGTCCAGCTTATCAGACAGTACCATACCAGGACCCCCCAGTGTCCACTCATTACCCAATTTCAAAACCACTTTCATGCTTTTTTTCTGTATTTGTTAGAATAGCACTCCTACTTCTTGTTACAAAATTTTATTTATCTAGTACTGCTGTAGCAGAACCGTTATAAGTGTGTGTCCTTAACAAACAGAAACTCACTTTCTCAGCTTCTTGTTGTTGTTAAGTGCCTTAGAGTCCGTTCTGAGCCATAGAGACTCTGTATAGGGTTTCCGAGGAGCAGCTGGTTGAGTTTGAACCACTGACCTTGCGATCCAGCATTTACCCTACAGTGCCACACTAGAACTCCTCCTCACAGTTTAGGAGGGTAGAAGTCTCCACACAGGGTACTGGCTCTGGAGAAAGGGCCTTGTCTCTTCAACTTTTACTTCCTGGTTCCTTGGCATCTCTCTTACCCCCTCTCTCCTCAGCTAGATTGTTCAATGTATTTTACATAGCATAAGATACACCCTACACTAATCTTGCCTCATTAATATAACAAACACAATCCATTCCCAAATGCAACTATAACCACAGGCACACCCCACTCCCCTCCCCTCCCTCACAAAACACTGCCTTTGAGTTGGCTCTGATTCAGAGTGACCCCACAGGACCGAGTAGGAGGACCCTATTAAGTTGTAGAGGCTGCAAATCTGTTCGGGAGCAGACAGCCTCATCTTACTTCTGCAGAGTAGCTTATGGTTTGAACTGCCGACCTTGAGGTTAGCAGTCCACCGCCTATCCCATAGCACCACCAGGGGTCCTTAACCACAGACATAAGGGTTAATATTTACAATATATATTGGGGGGGCATAATTTGATCCATAACAAGTAGAGAACAAAAACCTTAATAAACACCAAGGGGGACACAGTGTTGGCCCCATAGTTTCTTGCCAAGGAGTCAACCTTTCACATTGCCATTACATAGGGTGGGTAGCTACGCCCCACCCCTTCTGTGGCGAATTCTTCACGAATTGTTGGCAATGTCTTCATGCTAAACTTGGAATCAGCCAAGCAGTGTTCCTTGGTGTGTGTGTGTTGGGGGGGGGGGGGGGGACGGTAATGATAAGGTCCAGCCTTTATTCTGGAGAAGGAGGACCAAGGCTCTGGTCCTCATCTGGATCTGAGCTGCAACTGGTCTGTCTGGCTTTTAAGGGACACACTAAGTCCTTTTTGGCTGTGTCACCATAGGCAGGCTTTGGCCAGTAATGCTGGTGTGAATTGTGCTCAAACCCAGGCTGGGGAAGGGCTCAGGTGATGGTTATGTAGAACAGCAACCCGAGTGGCTTGGCCCACTGCAGCCCCAGGCACTGGGCTCAGGTGTGGAACTCACTTGGTTCAATAGCATCATTTGCAGTAGGAGAAACATCCCAACATGGCCTAAAGAGGAGGGGAGCCTGCACTTGACCTCTGACTGCAACCTTTTCACACACAAAGTATGTACAGCAGCTTTTCTCCCACTCTGGCCAAAGAAACTTTTCTGTGGGAAGATGGGCCCATCCTGACACCTTTTCAGTACATGTTATCAAAATTACAAACCCTTCAGGAAAATCCAGCCTCTTGCACCTGCCATGAGAGAAGCTGCCAAAGGTGGAAGGTCAGTAGGGAGGATGGAGCACCACCAAGTCAGGAGATGCTTTGGGGCCTAGGTGAAGGCAGAAAATAGGACAGTGGGAGGGGTGAAGCAAAGACCTGTCTGGGAGAGTCAGGGAAGGGGGCAGGTTTGGGTCAAGTCTTGGGAAGGTCTAAGGGCAAGCTGGCTGGGTCACTTGGAGATGCCTTTGGGACTCAGGGGGCTCTGCACAATAGTGAGGCTGAAGCCCACTGTAACGTGTGACCCCAGTGTCTCCCCTCCAGCCTAGGAGAAACACACTCGTCAGACCAGCACAGGTGAGGGTGCGGCAGGGTGTGCGGAGGTCCTCTAAGTCACATCAAGCACAAGAGACAGGGCATTCTGGGAGGCTCTGGTCTAAGTGGAGTGGACAGATGGTTAGCTACCCACCCTACATAATGGCACTGTGAAAGGTTGTCCCCGTGACATGCCATATGGTTCACAGAAGAACCTATGGGGCCAAGGGATGGACACAGCAAAGTCCCTTACCCTACCTCCCATCTCTCAGTCTTGTCTCCTCCATCTGGAATGCTCTCCTCTGTCTGACTGGGCTACTCTCTCCCTTGCCAGGATACTCCTAACCAGGAATCCTGGGCCATCCACTGTGTACCCCACCTCAATCATGGGACCTATTTATGTCCTCAATTTGTCAGTGACCCTGACCAAGTCAGGCTAAGCTCTCCAGGGGCTCCCTTTTCTTACCTCAGCTATGTGTGACCTTATGGGTGTGTCTGACGAGTCCCTACCTAAGAACTCTCATTGTGTAAAAGTGTGATGTCAGGGATGGAGGGTTGATTCAGTAAAGAATGGCAGGGGAGCTGACCTCTGAGCCTCCCCGCCTCCTCTTACCTTGTGGGCGGCGCTGACGCAGCGCTGGTAGGCTCTGACCAGGTCTGAGCACAGGAGCACCTCCTGCAGGTTCTTCTGGTAGCATCTGAGGATCTGGGTCTGCAGGCCTGAGCACACAGGCTCTGCCTTCCGGGGCCTATGGAAAGACAGGAGTGAGAGGCTTTGGATGAGGTCTAGTGCCAGGTGGTCACTGCTGTGGGCTGTGCACAGGGCCACTCACAGCCACTACAAGCCTCTCTCCAGCCCAAATTTGGGTGAGAAAGGCACAGCAGAAAGAGATAACCCTCACATGATGTGCTAGGTGTGGTAACCTCCAGTGTCCATTTAGTCCTGAAAGTGGAGGGGAGTGGGGTAAGAGAGAATGGAAGGGCCAGGAGAGGGGAAGGAAGGGAGAGGAATGGAAGAGAGGTGAGAGGAGGTGAGAAGAGGGGAGAGGCGGGGAAGGGCAAGGAGGAGGAGATGCTGGAACAGACAAGGAACAGTAATTATTTTAAGATCTCTTCCAGCAAACAAAATTCATCTGTTAAAAACATTAAGTAATGGAATACTAAATGGTTTAGGAAGTAAGATACCTAGCATTTACTGCTCTCACGTATAAGTCTGGAGGTGCCAGTGTGGTTATGCCTGATCACTGATGGCCTCCAGGGCCCTGCCTCCTGCTGTCTTTTTTCTAGAGCATCTGCATCTTGGTTTCTCATCCTCTGGCCTATTGGCTTATGTTTGTTGTCACTTCAAACACACCTTCACTCTGCAGAGCACAAGGCTGCATGAAGGAGCATGCCTCTGTACTGTCACATCTTGGCAAGCAGGAACATACTTCTTGAAAACCTCATTCTCAGAAAGGTTGTCTATTTTCCATTGGCCAGAATTTGGTCATCTGTTCACCTGTCCATCACTCACAGGAGAGTAAAAAAGACCATGTTGGGCTGAGACCACCAAGATCCATGCCGCAGGACGTGGTGTTTTATCCAGTAAAGAAGTAGGAGGCATGCGTGCATGTGTGTGTGTGTGTGTGTGTGTGCGTGTGTGGATGCTATGACCCTTGCGAGAGTGAAGCACCCAGGGTAGCTACATCATGACAAGGGATTCCACTAGACCCCCGAGGATGCTGACTTATATGTCCTTTTTCAAGATCAAAATTTTGATTGGAAGTCTCAGAGGAATTTCTTGAGGAAGAAACATTAGGGGCATTTTCTTAGCATTAACCTCTTGGAGAATGTCATTTTCTTGTCTTTGGATGTAAAACAAATATTTGCTCCTTATATGCAACTTTGTCCTCTCAAGGCTTATATCTGGTATTACAGAAAGTCATTGGAGGCAAGAGGGGAATAGATTGGGGTGGCGTGATACACCCATTTTTACCCTATATACTTGTAGAATGTCTAGAGTTTCAAAGTGGTTCACACGGATACATCTAATTGTGGGTCTTTTAAAATGGATTTTCCTTGGAGGACAGCACTGCGTCTCAGGCAAGTTCTCTTCATTACCCGTCTTACTGCTTCTGCTCCAACTACTCAGACCTTTTTCTTCTGGAACACTTTTAAGTCATATATTGGATCTTTGCTTTCTGACTCTACCCAATGTTCTTTCCTCTTTGTTTTAGTCTCTGGTTCCCCATCCTGGGCTGGCTGGCCACGATCTCCTGCCACATTTCTCACTTGACTCTGGTAGGGCTGGGCCTGCAGCTTGGCTTCTGCAATGTTCATCCCCCACAGTCCTAGTCTGGGCCCCTGTAGCTCCATCACCTCCACTGCTGGCCTTTCACAGCAACCTCTTCCCATCTATTCTTCCTTACACCATGTTGCCCCACTAGAATGCACGCTTTTCCATGGCAGAAATTCAACTGCACTCTTTTTTTTTTTTTTTTAAACTGACTTCAAACAGTTATTCCCCTTGCCCTCATGTGACCATCTCCATGACAGCTGGGTTATGGCTGTGTGCCAGGGGCTAGTAGGCATTCAGCAAATACTTATTGTTGGAATGAATGACTCAGGGGTAATCCAGGTTTCAGTAAAGGTAGAGTTCTTCTTGAGAGGTCACTGTGTGGGACTCACTGATTTATGTAGGAAAGAGGAATTCCAGAGTAAGATCAGTCGAATCCCAGAGACATGGGTTTGAGTTCCTAACAAGAGTGTCATCTTGGAGCAAGATAAGTGATTTCTTTGAGCATCACTTTCTTTGGACATACAAAAGAGATGGGCACTTAGGAAGGTAAATTAAAAAGCAATGCTAAATATCAAAACAACAATGGGATATTATCTCACCACAATATTAATATCAAAGTTTAAAAAACTAACAGAAAACAACAAACATTGGCAAGGGTGTGTTACAGACTAGCATCCTCAGACTCTGCTAGTGGGACTGTAAATGGTGTAACCATTGTGGAAAATGGTATGGTTCTTACTCAAAGAGTTGGAAATAGAAATACCATACGACTCAGCAATCCCTCTACTTGGTATATAGCCTAGAGAAATAAGAGCCGTGACAAGAATTAATACAAGCACACCCATGTTCACTGCAGCATTATTCACAATAGCTGAAAGATGGAAACAGCCTAAATGTCCAACAATGGAAGAATGGTTAGGCCAAATTTGGTGCAAACACCATGGAGGGCTAGATAACATTTAAAAATAATGATGAATGTATGAAAAAGCTCATAATATGGAAGAATATGGAGGACATGTATGCTAAATAAAATTACTCAATCACAAAAGGAGAAATATGGGACAGCTATTATGAAAAGTCAAGAAAAAGATTCTCACATAAAATGACACATTCTTTGAAGGTCACTAGGGGTGGGAGGGGAAAGGAGAACAAATCACTAACTAGAGGGGAGACAGATATTAACTTGTGTAAAGGGGAAGGCAATGTATGTAAGGAAGAGGTCAGCAAAAAATGATCAGGACAAAGGAAGAGTATATAAGAGTTAAAGGCACTCCAGAAGAGTTCTGGGATGACATCAAGAACATCATACATGAAGAAAGCAGAGAAAAAGAGGTACACCACCAGCGAGATGGATTGGCAAAGTGGCAGCATCAGTGGGCTCAAGTGTGGCAACAATCGTGAGGTTGGCCCAGGACCGGGCAGTGTTTCGTTTTGTTGTACATAGGGTCGCCAAGAGTCAGTACTCACTCGATGGCCCCTAACAACAACAACATGATTAAGACAAGTATGTTACTGAGAGAACTTGTCTGCAGCCATCCACTGATTGCAGAGTCATTTACACAGGTTTTATTTGGGATAAATCCATTCATGTTTGAACTGAAACCCTAGTCATAATACTTGATTATTTACCCTCAGATCATGTTTGAAAAAGAGTTAAAGGCACTAGAGGTAAATACCACAAATACTCCTATACACAATCATGCAATAATAGTAACAATACTAGTCTATGAGTAGAAACGAAGATCGACATGTAAACTGAGCAAGAAGGAGAATAAAACTAGACCCACAAATATATAGAGATTTGACAGGACTGCTTCTACATATGTGTTTACATATACAGCAAATATATTAAAGGATATGTTGTTAAGTGCCATCGAGTGCCATTGAGTCAGTTCCAAATCACAGCAATCCTGTATAAGGTTTCCAAGGAGTAGCTGGTAGGTTTGAACTGCCGACCCTGAGGTTAGCAGCCTGATTCGTAACCACTATGCTACCAGAGCTCCTTCTTAGCCATAACCAAATATCTTGAGGGAATGAATTGGGTGTAGGGTCTCAGAACCATAGTCGCAGAGGGCATCAAGGTAAATTAGCACAACATAGTCTACACAGAAGAGAAATATTCTACAGCCTACTTTGGTGAGCAGTAACTGGAGTCCTAAAAGCTACTTAGGCACAACTCCTGGTCTCTTCTCATGTAGAGCAAAGAAGAGTGAAGAAAAACAAAGCTGTATGGAAACAATTTGTCTAAAGGATTTATTAGTGGACAACACGAATCTCAGCCTCCATGACCATGAGACCAGAAGAATTACATGTGCCCAACTACCACCACCAACTGCTCTGAAAGGGATCACATTAGAAGGTCTAAGATAGAGTTGGAGAAAATGCGGGGGAAACTCAAAATCATTTAAAAAAAAGATTACTGGCCTGAGAGAGACTAATGGAATCCTTGAGAATTTACCTCCATGGCTTAATTTTCAGCAGAACACCAGGTCTATTATATAAACAAAACCACTAGGGAAGTACAATCATCTTAGAATAACCCATCAGTCCAGATACAAAGGGCAGCATTTGCTCAAGGGCAAAAGTTCAGAAAGCAGGAATGGTTAGGGAAGAAAAAGAACTAGAAAGAGAAAATGCAGGGAGGAAGTGGAATAAATGATGTTACATTGTGGGGATTGCAATCAATGATAAATGTAACAGAATGTATATTAATTGTTGAATGGCAAATTATTTGGCTCTGTAAATCTTTACCCAATTCACAATAAAAGTTGAAAAAAAACAATGTCTTGCTACAAAATTAAAGAAATGTTTTTATTAAACAAAAATAGTAAAATGTGACATTATTGTGTCTTGACATATCCTCCATCTAGGTCTATACATTTTTTTTTAAACTTTATTATGAATTGAACGAAGGTTTACAGAACATATCATCCATTTTACATTCAACAAGACGTACATGTCATTTCACTGCAACGACAGCAATCGCCTCATGTAACATTACTTATCACACTTCCTCCCGGTAACTTTTTCCATTCCTCCTTTTCCAACCCTTTGGAATTTTGTCCTTAGGTAAATGCTGTCCTCTTGATTTCAAATAGTTGACCATTCTATGGTGTGCATGTCGCTGTCCCCACTATATCCTTATCTACTGCTTGGATGAAAATTGAGCCATGAGGATGAGTTCAAGGGTCAGAATGGCCAAGGATGGCCAAGGGTCAGAATTTTGGGGTTCCAGTAGTCTTCTATCTGACCAGTAAGCCTGGTGTTTTTTATGATTTTGAGTTTTGTTCCACATTTTCTCGCACTCTATTCAGTATCCTATAATGTGATCCCTTTCAGAGGTTGTGGTAGATGGGCACCATCTAGTTCTACTGGTCTTGGGATAATCCATTAATCTATTGGACTAATTGTTTTCAAGCGCCTTTAACTTGCATCACTGTTTTTTCCTCCACACCAAAGTAAGATGCAGAA